TTTTGTTTTATGTAAAACCGTGATTATTAATAATGTTTGTAATGCATGTGTTTAGTTAAAGAACATATAATTTGTCAGTCTGTTTTTCCCTTCTGCATAAACGGTTGTATTATTATTCACATTAAACTTTTAACATAAATTCTACAGTGAAATGAATTATCATATTTAACAATAGTTCATTTAAACTAACCAACTCTTTTTGTTAATGCTTATAGAACATTCTCAGTGCACAAATATCTCAAAATGTCAGAAGCTGCTGGTGATCCGATAATTAAAACTGAACCACAAGAATATCCAATCGAAGACATTAAACCGGAAGTTGAGGAAGACCCTGAATCGTATTCAGAGGATGACAAAACATGTCTAAAGAGATTTATGAACTCTATTGTAAAAATAGAAGAAGATGTCAAACAGGAATTAATTCAAACTCCTTCTTATAAATGTGACAAGTGTCATAGAACATTTAGAAAGTTGCCTCATTCAGAACAGCATATCTTAAATTATTGTCATAAGGATACATATTGTTCAGAGTCTTTTTCAGATGCAAGTGCATTAGAAATACATATAAAATCTTATACATGTGAAAAACATTTCACATGTACAAAGTGCGGTAAAGCATTTACTGAAAAATATCATTTAGATCAACACATTTGTGCCTTTGCAATGGAACAAATTTTACATTTGAATGAATCAAGTAATCGAAAACGAAATCTTCGCACTCATACTGCAAAGGGGCCAGGTGAACGTCCTCATATTTGCCAAATTTGTGACAAGAAATTAACACAATCGAGTAACTTGAACAAACCTATGCTAATTCACAATGGGGCACGTCCTAATAAATGTAAAATATATGGAAAGACATTTACAGCATCAAGTAGCTTGAATAGACATATGCTCATCTACACACTGGTGAACAACCCCACATTTGCCAAGTTTTGTGATAAGACATTCATACTGAAGACCGCCCCTTCAAAAGCAAAATGTGCAATAAGGTATTCAAACAATCAAATACCTTAAAAAAGCACATGGTTGCTCATACCAATGAGTAATTAGTATTTAAAAATTAGTTAAAAGATTACATATGGCTGCTTATAAAATTTATGATTAGATGTATGAATTAATTCATATACATAAAATATCAAATAAATAAACAGTGTTATCAATGATTAGTGTGAATATTTTATATTGTGTTATGTTCTATATTCATTCCAGGCTTAATAAAGCTTGCAATTGAGCCATAATTGTTAGTATAGAATTTTTTCTTCTCAAAAGTTTATTTTTAACATCCTGTGGGGTTAGTTATTGTAATCGCCCAAAAATTTAAATTGAAATTTTTGCATATCTTGGCCAGAAGAAACGTTTTGAAAGTTTCTGAACATTTTGGCATAACTTAGAAAAAAATTATTTTTGTGTGTGTGTGTTTTTTAAGTAAAATTTCTTCAGGCGCGACTAGGGTGTAAATCCGTACAATGCAACGAAAAAGCGTTACGGCCGAGTTGAGTGCCAATGATTCGTCATTCGCTCTCGATGATATCATTTCTATATGGGTCGATTGTGATTGGTCGTCGTGTCGCGTTAGTATGATTGTTTTGATTGTACAGTGAAAATAATAAAACAAATGAACATTTGCCGTGTACGAAACGAATGATTTTCTTGACAAGAGCCTGAAATAATATGTATTATTATTAATTGATTACGGCTTGCTTATGAATAAATAAATAAATAAATAAACGTAATAAGTTTATTGAAGAAATTTGTATTATTCGTTGTCTTCTACATATATAAAAATAAGTCGAGTTTTCCTTCCTGAGGAAATAACTCCAGAACGCACGAACCGATTTCGATAATTTTGCATTCGTTGGAAAGGTCTCTCCGCAAGGTTTATAGCTAAGAAAATTAGTGGTGCATGGCATCGTGCCTTAATGCAAATTGCTGGACTTCACGCACCGTAATTAAAAATTCGAGTAATGACTTTAGTGAGAATTATCAGAATTATGCTTGGTTAAGTCAACGAACAATTCTTGCCGCAAAGTATAATTGTACTCGCACTGATTTCTCACCAATTCAATTCAAAAATTGCTGGCGATTTGGTTTGACTTCAAACGATTGCAATTTCCAGTTCGCCTTGTGTTCGCAATAACAAGTTGCAAGGCCAATCGCTTAGTGTTTGCGAGATAAATTTCAAATAGATTATTTATAAAATCATTGTTTTTCACATGGGCAGTTATACGTTGCCCGTTCACGATTTGGAAAACCATACGCGCTTCGTTTTTGTTAACGTCAGACCAAAAAACAACTAGTTGGGTGGGTGGCATCGTGCCTTAAGGCAAATTACTGGAACTTCCCGTACCGTAACGAAATGTTCGAGGAATACTCAATGTTTTCAAATAGATTATTAAAAATATTGTAACATTGTCTAATATTTATAAGAATTATATAAACTGAATTGCAAAGTTGAAATTATTTGTTTAAAGTATATTAGAACTATAGTCAGAATTAAAAATAAAATCTGAATTATTTTCGATATACAAAAAACTAAAAAAAAAAAAAAATAATTTTTTTTTTTTACAAAATCAATTATTTTGTTAAGACAAGCAGAAAGTTCTTTGAATCATTTAAATCGGACGCTTAGTTCTCTCAAAAACTGCCATTTTTTACATATTTAGCTCCGTATCTTCGAAATGGCTGGGCCTGCTTTTGCCAAAAACTAATAAACACTTCTCCCAATCATTACTAATTGAATGTTTTTAGATCATTCAAATCGGATACTCCGTTCTCTCAAAAGTCGATTTCTATTTTCTGCACTCTTTGCTCTGTATCCTCGAAACGGCTGGACCTGCCTTTGCCAAAAACTAATCAGCTCTTTTCCCTATCGATAGGAATCGAATGCTTTTTGAACCATTCAAATCGGTTGATCCGTTTGCCCGGAACGTGACTGAAAATTTGTATCCATACATGCATACACACACACACACACATCCATTTTTTCTGAGGTATGCCAAAACGTTCAGAAACCTTCAAAACGTCGAGAAATGTAAAAATTTTTCAATTCCGATTTTCGGCCTATTACAATAACTTACCCTATGGGAAGTTAAAAATCAAGCTGTCAATAAATGTATATTAATTTAAATTCATGAAGTGTTTTCAAATACAAATACATGATGAGTGAAATTGTGAAAACAATATTTCTTTAGCCGTTGTTTAATAATAATTCTCTGCATAGATATTGAAAAACATTAAAGTAGCACAGCTTTATTCTATCATGCCGAAGATATCTTTTTCAGAATTATATCTCACACACTTTTGGAAGTTTGGATAAAGTCTACATGTTCTTCGATCATGATGGCTATTAAAAGTATTAGAAAGTTGCATATTTTTATAAATAATGAAGAATAAATTGAGTTTATTTATTGATAGTGTTAATGAAATAGTTCAAGATTGTTATATCAGCTGTCCACTGTGTGAACGAATATTATAGAATTTATTAATGAGCAATTACTTTACTTCTCTAATAAAGGTTCAACTCCTAAATGCTAATTACAATGACCTTCCGATCATATCTGAAGTGTGACTTTAATTAACTTCCCAAAGGAGAAGTTTGTTTTCATAAAAAAATCAGATTCGCTAATTTTATGTTTTCTCAACGTTTCAAGCCATTCTGAATCGAATGATACCAAATTTGGATAAAGCATGTGTATGTGAACAGCGATTTTTTGCCGTAAATCGACGTTTTCTCTCAAAATGGCTGGACTGATTTAAAAATTTAAAAGCCATTTAATGTATCTCTATGAGGACTAGCGTTTATCAGTTTTGTGCGACGATCGGTCGAGCTGTTTCTTTATAAATAGCGGAAAAGTGAAAAAGTTTTCGTCCACGTTTTAGCCCGCAATTTTGAATCAATTTTGAAAATTCAAAAACTGTTCGAAAGACATTGGTTGGGAATCGTGCTGATAGTGGCGGATCCAGGGGGGGTCACGGGGGTCATGACCCTTCCCTGAGCCTGTTTTAAGACTTAGATAAAATACTAATTCAACAACAAAATTACTTCATAATGATTTTATTTATATATTTTGTTACCAAACACATTTTATAACTTGAATACTTAACTGATTGTAGACGAATGGCGGAGTCAAAAACCCTAAAATTTAAGAATTTTCTAATCGTATTGCGAATAATAGTTTTATTACAGTTTAGGAAAAAAAATTCATTCAAAAATAAAAAGATTAAACTGATTGTTAGTGGCCCTTTTGCATGAACTTTCAGTAATCCTTACATCTGTAAATAGACGACTTTTTTTTTTATTTGTTGGCTTTTGATATACATCAGAAGGCCAGATGCTATTCTTACAATTCATTACTGCAAATTCTTATTGAATCATTAACTAACTTAATCAATATCTAAACTAGTGGTGTATGGCATCGTGCCTTAAGGCAAATTGCTGGAACTTCCCGTACCGTAACGAAATGTTCGAGGAATTTTAAAAGTTTTCAAATAGATTGTTATAAATATTGTAACAATGTCTAATATTTATAAGAATTATATAAACTGAATTGCAAAGTTAAAACTATTTATTTAAAGTATATAAATTTTAAACTTTTTAGTCAGTATTAAAATTAAAATCTGAATTATTTTCGATATACAAAAAAAAATTTAAACAAAAATTGGAACAACATTTTTTTTCAAAAGCAATTATTTTGTCACAACAAGCAGAAAGTTCTTTGAATCATTCAAATCGGTAGCTCAGTTCTCTTAAAAACTGCCATTTTTTGCACATTTAGCTCATTTTCGATATACAAAAAAAAAAAAAAAAAAAAAATGGAATTTTTTTTTCAAAATCAATTATTTTGTTAAGACAAGCAGAAAGTTCTTTGAATCATTAAATCGGTAGCTCAGATCTCTTAAAAACTGCCATTTTTTGCACATTTAGCTCAGTATCCTCGAAATTGCTGAACCTGCCTTTGCCAAAAACTAATCCCCTCATCTCACAATCATTACAATCTCAATGTTTTTAAATCATTCAAATCGGATACTCCGTTCTCTCAAAAACTCGATTTGTATTTTCTGCACTCTTTTCTCCGTATCTCTGTAACTGCTGGACCTGTCTTTGCCAAAAACTAATCAGCACATCTCCCTATCAATAAGAATCGAATGTTTTTTGAACCATTCAAATCGGTTGATCCGTGCGCCCAAAAACGTGGACGAATAAATGCGGACATACAAAACACACACAGCCATTTTTTCTGAAGTATGCCAAAGTGTTCAAAAAAAAACCTTCAAAACGTCGAGAAATGCAACAAATTTCATTTTAGATTTTCGGCCCATTACTATAACTACTCTACGGGAAGTTAATAATGACTGATTTAGAGAAGTATACCTAATCGCTGTAAATCATTTTGAAGTGAGGAACTATTGCAAATTATTATTTTTTCAAATATAGTAGTTATTTTTGAAAAATGGTATGAATATTACACATTTAGAAAACGAACACATACGAAATACGAAGCCGAATACATACACACGGAGAATTTATTAAAAGCGCTTAAGCGCCTAAACTATACTTATCGCAGGCCTCAATATAGTTTAGTACGTTCATTTAGAGCAGAAACTCTATCGTCATGCAAAGTTTCACTAAAATCGCAAAAAAATGACAATCTATTATGAAAAAGAAACGACTTGACCGATCTTCGCCAGAAATCATTTATTTCCAAATGATATCAATCGAATAGTTTAAGCAAAAACGGTTAAGAATTTTTGACAAAAACATGAACGATATTTTTTGCACTTTTCTGCCAATAGTAAAAAAACGGATCGACCAATTGTCTCAAAAAACTAATTAACGCAAGCGCTTATCCAGTTACATTTTATAGTTTTTAAATTTTAACATCGGTTCAGACAAGAAAACGTCGAGGAAAGGTCAAATTTTGACTCACATCAAAGACCCAGATTATTTAAAAAAAAAACACATATATAAGGTAAGGCGGGTCCAATTTAACTTTGAGCAATTATATATTGTGAAAACTAAACGAAAAACATAACAACCAATAATCAAACAAAAAACCATCTGACTATGTTTTAGTACTTCCAGCTAAAATTCATTTGATGTATCTCGACAAGGACTAGCGTTTTGTGCTACGATCGGCTGAGCCGTTTCTTTGTATATCGCAGAAAAGTGAAAATTTTTTCGTCCACGTTTTAGCTCGCAATCGATTTTGAAAATTCAAAAACCGTTGGTAAGATATATTAGTTGGGAATCGACCTGATTAGTTTTTGGCAAAGATTCGTCAGAGTTTAAAAGAAAAAATCGCGTTTTTTGGCGATTGTCAAAATTAGACCTTTAATCAACATTTTCTCTAAAATGCATGTATCTCGATAAGCAGTTTTTTTGTAATTTGCATAAAATTGTAATACTTCTCGTCCACGTTTTAGCTCACAATCCTGAATTGTCCTACTTAGTTTTGGACAGAGATCGGCCGAGCCGGTTCTTTGTAAATAACTGTTAAAAAATTTTTTTGATGAAACTTTTTATGTTGATAGATATCACGATTCTGAACAGCATACTAAATTTTACGCACCCACTGCAAGTTAGTTTAACTTTAAAATTTCATCAAGTTTGAAAAAATATTATATTAAAAATTTGTGTCAAAAGTTGCTTTTGTGATGCGATGAGTCAAACATCGTCAATTCATTAAAATGTGGAATAATGAGCTGGAATTTTAGGACATACAAAGCACGTGTCCGTGCAATATAATTAACATAATTAGAAATACTTCAAATGTGTTTGAAAAAATTCTGTTCGAAATCGCAATGTTTAGATTTAATTTAAAGCGATAACTGTAGTTTCGAAATAATTAGTTGAAATTTTTATATAAATATCTGAATCTCAATTTTAGTTGCCATAAGGCTAAAGCCACTTTCAACTAGTTAAAATAAAACTATCACAAATATTTGAATTAAATTAACTATTATGATAAATATTATTAATACCATTCTTACAAAATCATTAGTTATCACAATTGCCTTTATATAATTCAAATAAAACATATGACATATGACAATTAATCAATCGAGAGAGTCCGCGATTGTCGTCGGCTATGTTCGCTCAGACATGTGACGTCACAGTCCGTTCTATGATTGAGCACTTTGGGTGCGTTTCGACTTGGACGCTTACGCGCTGTGAGCACGCCGTGAGCGCGCTTTCATCGTTCGACTTGGCGCTGTGAGTGTCACATAAGTACGCTCGTAGCACATAGACCTTATACAATACAATTGTGTAAGGTCTATGTCGTAGCACCATCGTGGGATGCTCGTAGCACATATTTTGCGCTCATACGTGCTCACGCCACAGAGGTAGGGCAGCGTGAGCGTGAGCGTCAGTTGTTTTTACTATCTGTCATTTCATTTATTTATTAATTGTCAAATTCTTTATAATCCCGCAAAAATGGCAAGCTGTATACCACAATTATTTTTTAATATTAATATTAATATTGATTAATTTTAAATTTAATTAATTTTAAATAATTTTAAATTTTAATTTTAATATTACTATTAATTAAGCATAAACTAACCAAATTTCATTCATTTATTAATTGTTAAATTCTTTATAATCCCGCAAAAATGCCGAGTTGTATATCACATTTATTTTTTAGTATTAATATTAATATTAAATTAATTAATTTTAAATTCAATTAATTTTAAATAATTTTAAATTTAATATTACTATTAATTAAGCATAAGCTAACCAAATTTCATTTATTTATTAATTATTAAATTCTTTATAATCTCGCAAAATGCCAAGTTGTATATCACATTTATTTTTTAGTATTAATATTAATATTAAATTAATTAATTTTAAATTCAATTAATTTTAAATAATTTTAAATTTAATATTACTATTAATTAAGCATAAGCTAACCAAATTTCATTTATTTATTAATTATTAAATTCTTTATAATCTCGCAAAAATGCCAAGTTGTATATCACATTTATTTTTTAGTATTAATTAACATTAATTAATTAATTTTAAATTCAATTAATTTTAAATAATTTTAAATTTTAATTTTAATATTACTATTAATTAAGCATAAGCTAACCAAATTTAATTTATTTATTAATTGTTAAATTCTTTATAATCCCGCTGAATGATCCAGAAAGTAATAAAATTTACACAATTACCGTTACCGCCAGTTGCCGTCATTTTGATGCTTATTGACGCTCACAGTATCCAAAACGAACGGAATTTAGTTATCGATTCTGAGCGCTTATCGGCCTAGTCCAACGCTAAAAATTCGTGCTTATAAGCGTGAGCGCTCACAGCGCGTAAGCGTCCAAGTCGAATGCACCCTTTATGTTTAAAACAATGTGTTCTATAGGTATACCATATCTTAGTTTATCAAAGCATTCTCAAGAGTTTGGGAAATTCAACACTAAATGATTCAATAAAAATAAAATTTTAAACTAGTGGGGCATGGCATCGTGCCTTAAGGCAAATTGCTGGAACTTTCCGTACCAAAAATTATTTTTTTTTTATAGATTAACATTTTAGAAAAAAAATTTACTCTGAAAAATTAGATTTTTGAGAAACTATAAATTTTTGACAAAAATTTACTTTTTTTTGAAAAAAAGGCTTTTTGAAGAAAAGTGTATTTTGGAATATTTTGAAAATTCTGAACTTTTTTTCAAAGCAATCGTACTGCTTTAACTGCATAGAGACAAAATATCAAAGCGCGTAAGCGCCGCGCCGCCGTCTAACGGTCAAGCATTGGTACGGAACCCATAGGAATGTAAACAAAATTTATACTTATTGTTAAAATGTCTATAAAATATCTGATAATTTGATGTGCATATGCCTAATGATCATTTTTGACCGCCAGATTTTTTTGTTACTTTTTTTACTAGATCTCCGAAACCGCTAGACCTGCCTTTATGAAAATTTGATCAGTTCTTTATCTTGTTAATACAAGTAAAATGTTTTTTGAATTATTCAAATCGGACGCTTCGTTCTCCTAAAACCTGAGTTACCGTTTTTGGCACTTTTTGCCCCATATCTTCGGAACGGCTAGACCGGCCTTCGCCAAAAACTAATCAGCACGTCTCCTTATCAATACGAATCGAATGTTTTTTGAATTATTCAAATCGCTTCATTCGTGTTCCCGAAATCGTCGACAAAAATTTGTATCCGCACACAGATACACGCACACACACACACACATACATCCATTTTTCTAAGGTATGCCAAAATATTCAAAAACCTCTGAAACGTAAAGATATATAAACATTTTCATTTTCGATTTTTTTTGCGATTACTATAACTTACGGGAAGTTAATAATTTTAAACTAATATTAGACTAACATCTAATATTTTTCCATTTGACTATGTAATATATAATTTCAAATTTTTGCGCCGTTTAATTCGCAGTTGAAATGTGTTGGTGTTGCCCAATCAGTAGAAACGTCATAGAAAACGAAGAAGAAATGTCAAATTGTGAAGGTGCGTAAATGAACACGCGGATTACCGCAGCCTTTTTGAAGTTTGTGACCTTGCTCATTGTACGGTCAAACGAAAGAGAAAGAAGATTTCATGAAAATGTCAAGAATGTAGGTGTACCAACAACAAAGATCAACAAAAATCACGAACAGTAATGCGGCTGTCTAAGCAATTTTTAACCTAACATTATATTGACAAATGGTCATATAGTATTTGATTTTGACTTGCATAAAATATATCATGCATATATATAATTCGTATGAATGAATATTTATAAACAGTTTAATTTTTTTCTCAAGTTTGATTGAATATTTTATTAAAATTCAACATAACATAAATTTGTATGACTTGTAAATTTGTCAGTACATTATTGACTTTACTGATATATTATTGATATTTCATATGGGATTTAAACAAAAACAATGAAATGCATAATTGTAATAAAATCTTTATTAAAGGTGAAATATATAATACACAACCTAACCTATTTAAAAGAAATTTAACCTATCTTTGACATTTAGCCTATGCTACCTATATCGAAAAAACATAAGATAAAAAAAACAAATAATACGATTGATAAACTCCATTCACATAAAAATCTTATAATAAAACTGGCCTAACTTCTATCTACAACACTACTAAGAGAAAAAAATAAAATTCGTACCGATCGAGAAGGCCATTAAGAACGACATGACAAATTTGATATTCCCATGCGCGAAGCACAATTATGGTCGGCAGACTTGAATTTTACACAGCCAACTTCACAGTGTTTTTACACACCAATACATGCACAACCGTACAATGAGCTACTGTCAAAAAGACTGCGACTTGATACTCTTCGTAAATGAGGCAAACGAAAATATAAAATAATAATAAAAAGGTCAGTGTTAGTATTATAACATATTAAAATACAAACGAATCAATAAATATCAAAATATATTTATTATATGTTCATAACGCATAAATTAAAAGGCTTTTCGACTTTTAAGCAGACATCTTTACAATAACCTTCAAACGTCAAAAATGTCTGAAGAAACAAATTCAAACACAACAATTAAAATTGAACCGATCGAATATTCTCGAGTTAAACAAGATTTAGATGATTATGAAAACACCACAAGTATTTGTATGGAGAATGATGAAATTTGTCTACAGCAATTTCTAAAATCAGAGGTTACTGTTGATGAGGATATAAAGCAAGAAAGGATCGATGAGCAAGATTTTCAAGTGAAACAAGAATTTGATGATTATGAATGCACTTCACATATGAGTATGGAGAATGATGAAATATGCCTACAGCAATTTCTAAAATCTGAGGTTCCGATTGATGAGGAAATGAAGCAAGAAAAAATCAATGGGCATGATGCTGCAACTAATACAAGTTTAGATGAAAAATCTTACATATTTATTGAAGAAATCAGTAATTTAAGTAATTTTAGCGATAATCATCAAACAAAAGCATCATTAAATGAACATAAAGCTATTATTTTTACTAAAAAAGGACCTTACAAATGTAAAGTATGCAATAAAACATTCACATTTAGTGGAAATTTAAGCGAACATAAAAAAGTCCACTCTGGAGAACGTCCTTACAGTTGTGAAATGTGTCATAAAACATTTGCAACAAAACGATATTTAAAACAACATGAAGTTGTTCACACTAAGGAAAGACATGAATGTGAAATATGCAAAAAAACATTTTCAAGAAGGACATCATTAAACACACATAAAAAAGATTCATACTGGAACACATCAGTCATCAAAGCATACTGAAGGACCTTTTAGTTGCAAAATATGCAATAAAACATTCAAAATAAAGTGTCATATAAAAGAGCATGAAATGATTCACACTGTAGAACTTCCTTACAGTTGTGAAATATGTCATAAAGCATTCAAAATAAAGCAGAATTTAAAACAACATAAAGCAATTCACACTGGAGAAAGACCCCATAAGTGCAATATATGCAATGAAACATTCACAACAAAAAGATCATTAAGACTACATGAGATTTATCACACCGGAGTGCGTCCTTATAGTTGTGAAATATGCAATAAAACATTCACAGCGAAAACATCATTAAGTCGACATAAAATGATTCACACTGGGGAACGTCCTTATAGTTGTGGAATTTGCAATAAAGCATTTCCAATAATAGATGCATTAAGACAACATGTAAAAGGAGTGCATTGTGGAATACGTCCTGTGAGAAAACGTTTAAAAAAAGGTTTGCATTTGCCGGAAACTATCCAACCTTAAAATCCTTTTCTTGTGATTCGCCTAGCTGATCACCCAAACTTGATCGCCAGAAAACTTCAAAACAACTCTACCAGGGCCCGATTAAAAAGACAATTTCTTCTTTTATCTATGGTCCGAACTAAAAGGTACATCAGTCTCAAGGCGCTTAAAAGTCGTTGTCCGCCAGTGGGCCTAAATACCTGCAAGTCACATATTCGGCCAGGTGCGATTCGTTTTTGGATTGTCAAAGGAAAAGGTGTTCATATCGAGCAAAAGTGAATTGTTTTTAAGTTTTGTATTATTTTTACATATTTTGTACTTTGAATCGAGTGAAAGTAATTTTTCCAAACTGAATTTATGTTTTTTTTAATTGGATAGACTTCGAGTGCCGGACCCTAGCTCTAGTAGATACGCCACTGGGGGTATCTACAAATTTGTAAACAATAAATTGTAAACAACTTGTCAGCATTCTCTGCTAAATGTAATCTATATATATAAAAGAGGATCGCCTTATGTGCTACCACTTATAACTCACGAACGGCTGAACCGATTTAGATGAAAATTGGCAGGGAGGTAGTTTAGAGTCAGGAGAAGGACATAGGATACTTTTTATCCCTTTATTTCATTCTAATTTAAAATTAATTATTTATAAACTATCCATGTAGTTTATTCAATCTATGATACTATCAATGATTTCATCCATGACATTTGCATTCGATTGTCAAATGTCATTCGGTGTTTCTAACCTCTATTACCTCATGTTGAATATTAGTTAGTGAATGAATATTAGTTCTTGGTTTTATATATATATATATATATATATATATATATATAAATAAGGTGAAGTGAAGTTTCATTAATAATGCCGCGACCAAGACGATCGAATCTTTCCCGACAAAGCAGTAATGCAAGAAGACTGCAAAATACTGTAAATGCAAGAACTGAAGAACAAGAAAGAATTGCACGTGAACAGCAACGCGAAAGAATGGCTCGACTTCGTGCTCGAGGTAACAACATAGATCAACAAATAGTTAACTTGCGATGCAGAAGAAGAAATTTGAATCGAGAAGCATTTCAATACGATTGCAGCTATGATTATAGCTTGCATCCTAGCGTCTGCATTGGCAAAATGGACGTAGATTGCAAGTATTGTGGTGCATTGAAGTTTTCCCAAGAAACGCCTGGATTATGCTGCCTTAATGGTAAAGTCAAATTGCCATCGTTGACTCCGCCACCTGAACCATTGTATTCATTGCTTTGTGGCGAAACACAAGAATCACGCCACTTTCTTGCTAATACTCAAAAATACAATGGTTGTTTCCAAATGACGTCATTTGGAGCAGATATTATCGAAGAACGAGGATTTAATCCGACATTTAAGGTACTTATTTTTGTACCTATATAGAATGTAGTTAAAGAATAACTTACTTCATCTATTAGCAAATTCTTAACTTTTTCTCCTACCGAAAAAAGATTTTATAACACAGTTAATACTGTCGGGTTTTTATTTTGTAGATACAAGGACAAATTCATCATCGAATTGGATCATTACTACCTTTTGAAGATACACAGAATAAATTTTTACAAATATATTTCATGGGCAACAGGGAAGAACAACTTGATCGACGACTAGAGATCAATGCAGGAATGAAGCGAGCAATTCTTCAAGACTTACAGTGTCTGCTTCATGAACATCATGCGTTGGTCTGGTTGTTTAAGAGTGCTTTAGAGCTCATGCCAAGCGATGACTATAAAGTTGTCATCAGAGCAGATAAACGACCATCTGGAACACACGAAAGGACATTTAATGCTCCAATAGTAGACGAAGTTGCCATCCTGATTGTTGGTGAACAATTGGAAAAACGCGATATTGTGCTTTCACGTCGCGACACTGGGCAACTGCAACAATATCTGAAACACATCGATCATATGACTCATTGCAATACCCGCTGATGTTTTGGCAAGGAGAAGATGGATATTATTTTAATATTAAAATGAAAAATCCATTGAATGGTGAGAATCAGTATCATAATTTATTTCATTTATTTGTGAAAGACTCCGCTTTAAAATAAAGCTTTTTTAAAAAATAATCAATGTCTGTATTGTTTGCCTTTAAAATTTGCCAAAAAAATGAATAATTTTCAAATTTTAAATTTCAGGCGAAGAAACTACAAAGAATGTTAGCTCAATGAATTATTACGCATATCGTTTGATGATTCGTCAAATTATTCGTCGAACTTATCAACAATGTATTTCCAGAAATTGTTTCTAATAGCAAAAATAATGAATGGTTGAGTGAGCGGGCAATTTTAGCAGCAAAGAATAAAGATGTAGATGACCTAAACCACATAATTCAAAATAAAATAATTGGAACAATGCTTTCATTCAAATCTATTGATTGCGTCACAAATGAAGATGAAGCCACCAACTATCCAATTGAATTTTTAAATTCTTTGGACGTGCCTGGCTTACCACCGCACAATTTACTCCTAAAGGTTGGCTCCGTAGTAATAATGCTTAGGAACATAAACCAACCAAAACTGTGCAACGGTACGCGTTTGGTGGTTACAAAATTGATGAACAATGTAATTTACGCTACCATAATGATAGGAAAATTTAAAGGTGAGGAAGTTCTCATTCCGAGAATACCGATGATCCCAACCGATCTGCCGTTTGAATTCAAAAGAATTCAATTTCCAATACGTCTCGCATTTGCCATGACCATCAACAAATCACAAGGGCAATCCTTAAAAGTTTGTGGTTTGAATTTGGAACATTCATGTTTTTCCCATGGTCAACTATATGTGGCATGTTCACGGGTCGGAAAACCATCTGCGTTGTTTGTTTTTGCGCCTGATAACAAAACAAAAAATGTTGTGTATAAGAAGGTACTTCAATGAAGAGGCACTAAAATGAATAAATCATTATGAATGATTAATGTTGCTATTTTATTTCTATTTTTATTTTTTCCATTAAAAAAAAAAGCTTATTTATTGCCATTATGGCGGAACAAAGTTCGCCGGGTCAGCTAGTTATATTTATAGAATAAAATTAAATTTAAAAAAATGACAAAAAAGTTAAAGTTGAATAGTCATTGACATTTTAAAATTTACTTCAATGCACTTAAAACACAGGTAAGTACAGTAAAATAAATAAAGATATACAGTTAAAATTATTATAGTTGTGTTGCTTAACTTATGTCAAAACATCGGAATAGTTTTCAAAACCAAAATTATAATAATGATAAAAATATTTTATAAATAGAATAAGTAAATAATATTATAATATTATAATACGAAAAGAAATTTAAAAAATCAGTAAATTATATATAATTTACTGATTTTTTAAATTTCTTTTCGTCATACTAAAGACGGACATTATTATAAAGACATGATTTGAGTCCATTACCCATCAAATAAAATTCCAGCCGAAAACAATGACCATGAGGAAAAAAACTATATTAAATTTTCGAGACTTGTAAATTGAAAAAAACGTTGTTGGAAACATAGATAAATAAACATTGGAAATGTTGGAAAGTAGCTAGGACTCATACTTTTCTTTTATCTATGAATAGAACCATAAAGAATTTGAAAAGACGCGCCACGATAAATGTCTCATCTTTCTAGAAATATACTCTCTATGCTTCAAATGTCAAATAATAAATGTAAATTCAGTTGAAATCATTTATCATATTGAAAAAAGAATATTCATAAAACTAGACTATTATTTAGCGCACAACTATTTTCTAATTTTTTTTGTGAAAGTATTTAAAAATGTCGGAGGAAACAATTATGTCTATGAATGATCAGACAATTAAACTTGAACCACCAGAATATTCGCCAGAAGACATTAAACTCGAAATAGAGGATGATTTTGTTGATCCCGACGTTATTGTTAAATCTGAATCGTGTTCTGAAGTTGATGATACGTGTTTAGAAAGATTTATGAATTCCGAGGTGAAAATTGAAGAAGAAGTCAAACAGGAGTTAGTCGAGACATCAACTTATGAATGTGATGTTTGCAACAGATCATTTGCAGAATCAGATCATTTAAAAGAGCATACGATCGAACATATGCCTAATAATAGCAAAGAAAATCCTTTCAAATGCGAATTCTGTCATAAGACTTTCAGTCTATTAGCTAATCTGAAAAGGCACAAGCTCATTCACAGTGGTGAGCGCGTCCATGAATGCAGTACATGCAAAAAGACATTCACTACAATAAATTATCTGAAAAGACACATGCTCATTCACACTGGTGAGCGTCTTCATGAATGCAATATATGCAATAAGACATTTGCAGAAAGAGGTTGTCTGAAAAAACACATGCTGATACATAGTGAAGTACGTCCACATGAATGCAACGTTTGCAAAAAGAAATTTACACAATCAAGTCATCTGAAAAGTCACATGCTTATTCACAGTGAAGTACGCCCTCATGAATGCAATATATGCAAAAAGAAATTTACACAATTAAGTCATTTGAAAAGTCACATGCTGATACACAGTGGAGTACGTCCACATGAATGCAATATTTGCAATAAGACCTTCAGGCATTCATATAATCTGAAATGTCACATGCGCATTCACAGTGGTGAGCGTCCCTATGAATGCAATGTATGCAAAAAGACATTCACAGAATTAACTAATCTGAAGAGTCACGTACTGACACACAGTGGAGTACGACCCCATGTATGCAATATATGCAAAAACAAATTTACACAATCAGGTCATCTGAAAAGTCACATGCTTATTCACAGTGAAGTACGCCCTCATGAATGCAGTATATGCAAAAAGAAATTTACACAAACAAGTAATTTGAAAAGGCACATGCTGATTCATAAATGAGAGCATCCTGATAAATGTGAAGTATGTAGTAAGGAATTTACTCAATCGAAGGATTTGAAGAGACTCATGGCACTTCACAGTCAGAAGCGTGATAAAGATCAATGAAACATAAGCATATTTGTTCACTTAAATTTAAATATTGTAATTTTTTTTTTCCATCTAATGGAATGTATAAATAGTATGAAATATACAGTACACATTACATAATATCATTATTATTTCATAGTTTTTTGAAGTAAAACTTCTTTAGGCGCGATATGGGTGTAAAAATTTCTTTAGGCTACACGGGTGTAAATCCGTACAAATGCAACGAAAACGCCAACGTGAAGTTGAACACTGCGACGCCGTAAGCGCTGATGTCGCGAGTATCCACTCCCGTCATGTCATGCGTAAGTCGAGCGCTAAACCCTATATGAACTTGCATTAATTGAATCACGTTTTTTTTACAAAAGAAGAGGTTGCTGTATTATGTCCTCATGGAATAAGACTTTTCTTAGAGAATAAATGTGCCATGGAATATAATAAATTTATATTGAATCTCGTTGAAGACAAAATAATATCTACTGCCACGGATATTTATGTAGGTTGCCATGCGACAGATCAACAATCATACATTCGTCAGCAGTTTCACAAATATCGGTTATTGATACCGGGGGTTTGCCGTATGAAATAATTTTAGTTCTGAATAAATTTTACATAATAACAACTAATATTGATGTAAGTGATGGCTTAGCTAATGGTTGTGTAGGAAAATTAGTGTACGTAGAACGTGGCGATAATGATGAACTTCTACGTTTATGGTTTGAATTTCCTGGTAAGATAGGTAACAAAATAAGAATAAAGCTGCACATTATATTCAAACTCTTAATATCAGTAGGACAGCTGTGCCGATTCTCAGGAGATCTTCATCTATTCCAATGAATAGAAATAAAATCATATTTTTCAAAAGAAATCATTTTCCTTTAGTGTCTGCTTGTGCACTCACAATACACAAATCACAAGGTGGTACTTTTGATAAAATTGTATATGAATACAATAAAACACATAATCAGCAGCTTCTATATGTTGCATTATCACGAGTTACCAGCATTAATGGATTGTTCATAATTTCAAAAAATTTTATCATGGAAGAAAACGGCCAGAAGGATTAATGAACTTAAAAACTGAATTCCAAAGACTTTCAACTTGTAGATTAATAACACAAGAAGAAAAATTGAGTGAGATAATAAGTTTGAACGACATTTCATTGTTTTCCTTTAACTGCCAAAGTTTACGAGCTCATTTGCCTGATCTGCAAGATAAAGTGCTACAACGTTGTACGTTTTTGTTATTTTCGGAAACTTGGATTAATAATGAAGAACGAATTGATATTCAGAACTATTACTGCGTTACTCAATACAAACGATCGGACTCAAGAGCAGGTGGTGTAGCTGTCTATCATTCATGTTCAGATACTCTTCATAATGCGACTCCTATGCAGTTTCTTGCGCCAACGATATTACTGGATATTCCTAATGAAATTACACAAGTAGGTGATATTACACACACAGAATCAAACATTAATTATAGTCGTCCTTTACATTTCTCCCAATAAAAACATATCAAATATTATTAAATTTCTTCATCAGCAGTTACTTGATTTTTCTTATGAGGGTGCAAAACTTTTAAACACTAATCACAACGAGATACCATTAATTCTTGCTGGAGATTTCAATGTCAATTTTTGTTCAGAAGAATCTCAACCATTAATTGATTTTTTAAATAATAAATTTAATTTAACAATGAATAATTCTCCATTTGAATCAACCACAAGATATGGCACGACTATTGATGCAGTTTTCTCCAGAAATGTACATAGTTTACAAAGCAAAATTTATGTCTCTCATTTTAGTTATCACAAACCTATTATATCATATATGAAATATGATAGCAATTAATCTATCGATGTTGTTTTAAACTGTGTTATTGATGTTATGTGATTATTAATAAATGATTTTTAAAATTCAAATATGATGTTTTTTTTATTTTTATCTTAATTGCCTACTCATACAATATTAAAAGTTTTACTTCAATCGCGTGTGATCACGCGCACTCTTTTTTTATTCA